ATCTTGAGTTTACATTACTTCTTGTTAGCCTTTACTTTTTCTCTGTACTTTATTTTGTTAGGAAAAATCCTTCCAGAAAAATATCAGTTAACATGTACTATTTGAAGTTTTGTCCAGTCCAGTATTAAGTAGTGTATTGCTGCTGTTGTATTAATATTGGAAAATATAGAAGGTTAAAAAAAATCAATTACTGATAGCATCTAGGGTGGTAAATCATAGCAGATACTATTTGGTGATGCTTGTGTCTTGCTCTTTTAATGAGTTCTGCAGACATTTGTAGTACTGTTTTATATGTTAAATGATGAGTGGTGTTGGTGTTATAGTAAGAGTGGCTAAGTGGTGACATATTTTTGTACTTGTTTTTTACATGTCTTGATCAAAAAAGTTACTTAATACTAGTTAGAGACTAAGCGTTATCAGTATTCAAATTACTATTATAACATTGTTTTTATCAGTCTTTTTTGTTGATATTACTACTGATTCTGACTAATTGAATTATGTTCTAGATAGATGTAAGACTTGGGGTGGGGTGGGATACTCTTATCTATTAAAGCTGACATGGTCAATGCACAAATTCCACATCCACATAGTGAATATAGCTACTTGGTGTCTGTGAAAGGAATCATCTGTGTGTTAAATGTCTGATGTGAAGATTTTTAGAATTCCATTACACAATTATGTTTCTTTAGTCTGTGTGGAAAGCTCTTTGCAGTATGAAGCTACATACTACACATTTGTCAGAAATGTATCTAGAAAATATATTTTTCACTACTAGAATGAAGGCTGAAGGTGGTACGAAAATTGCCTTTGCATATATTTTCAACCTCACCATAAAAAACGGATCAGAGAGAGAAATGGTAGGTGTGTGCTTGTGTTTATCTGCAGTGTTTGACTTCTTGGTGAGTAACAAGAGTGATTTCTGTTGCAGAGAAACTGATAGTGGGCAGGTGTCCAAAGCTGCTTTAGATGCCACTGAGAAGCAGGATGCTGAGCGAATCCAGCTTGGGATTGTTTTGGGATATAAGCGAGAAAGCAGGTGTGCCAGTGTTTCCCTCTGCTCCATGTGAAGCCATGGTGCCAGCTGCCTGCAGCAGCGGTGTAGGCGGTTGGACACCTTCCCTGGCGCACTGCCTTCAGGTGGAGATCTGAGCCGTGGCGTTATACTCTGCCTCGCACTGAGGGAGAATTTTCGTGTTTACTGCGTCACTGAATAAAAGCCCTTTGCACAGTATGATACTCAACTTTATCACCTCATCCACTGCTTTAAACTTCTCCCAAACTAGGCTTTTGCACATCTGATGGTAAATGTTCTTGGTAGCACAATACCTATTTTTGACATTGATTTGACATTGAGGCAGAATTCTGTCAGTCTCTTCAGCTGCCCAGTTAAACTGCCTGATATTCTAGTCAGCTCTGTGTATTTTGTGTCACTATCATCATTAAAAATTGCAGTAGAAGTTAATTTGAATGTTTTCTCATACGTGTGCTTTTGTGGACAAACTGGATGAGTTCATTGCTTGTTTGGTTCTGGCAGTCACATTTAATGCAAAAAGCATATTCTTGGAGCAGGCGTGCGAAATGCAGCTGAGGGTTGCTTGTGGGGCGAAGGAGGCTCTGACCTGCATGCAGGTTTGTTTTATGTGTTCTCAATTCATGGCTTCCAGCATATTTCTGAGCACCATGCTCTGTGCCAGGCTGATCAAAACATTGGCTTTTTCACTATTAGCTGCATCCTTTATTTCTTAGCTTCCTGTGGCTTTTGTGGTGCTGTTGATCCCATCAGGAGGCCAAGCCAGGGAAGTTTGCACAAGGAATGCCTGCAGTCAATGCCAATGAGTCTCTCTATGCAGCTTTGCCTGTTTGAAGAACAGGATTATTCTCAGTCTTTGCTGTGTTCTGCAGTTGTGCCATTCCTCATGATCTATCAAACATAATTAACTCTTCCAAAATGTGTGGTACCCCTGAGTAACTCTTCTGTCTCCAGATAAAACCAGTGTTTCTTGTTTGTTTGCCTTTAGCCACTTCAGTGATGCTGCCCAAGGGAGACATTCTTGGTGTTCTCTGTAGGCCCAGTGCAATAGCAAACACCTTTTCTTTTGAGTACAGTAGAGGGTTTTTTGATTGATCTTTATATTTGTTTCTTTCTCATCTGCATTTGTGGTGATGCCAGGAAATTAAAATATGACTGAAGAGATTTGAATACTCTAGAAATATATTTATCAAGGAGACAGTAGCATGCTTGTTTTGAAGGTACAGGTCTGGTAGCTCTTTCTTTTTCCCAATGATCTTCATGCTTCTAATTTACTGTTAACAGTAATAGGACAAAAATTTACTAGTACATTTCCTAGCTGTTATCAGTGGCAGCAGATATATGAATAATATTGTAGCAAATTCAATGATGATTTTAATGAGTGGGTTTTCCATAATGTCATAATGGTCTGCATTATTCTTTGTTCATATGCACACGTGTGTTTGTTCATATATATATATAAACATAAACTAAATCTACAGACCCATCTGACTAAAATTCCATAATGTGATGCAGCACTGTTACATAACCTTTCTAAAGTAGCCCATTCCTTCTGTATAATTTCAAAGAACAACTGGATGTATTTCCAATGTTTTGCCTATTCAGCGTAGTGAGAAATATCTTGGGTATACCTGTATGCTGGTGAGAAAAATACACTGCTAATGGTAATGGAATAGAGGTGGTGCCTGTTTTACAGACATACCCCAAAGTTTAACAGTCTTAAATTGCAATTGCTTTTTTGTTGTTGTTATTGCTATCAATGATATTTAGCTTCATTTATTGTACAGTAATATTAAGGCAGGCTTCTTTATGTGTAATGAAGCTGCTATATGATCATGCTGAAGAGATTATATATCCAGGATTGAATACATTTATGTTATAAGACATGGGCATTTCCAGGTCTCTGAACCTCTGTTTGTATAAACAGATTGACAGTTTTATTGATTAACATTTGTCTCTGTAAAAGATTTAATAATTTGTTTGCTTTCTTCTGTCCTTGTAATATAGAATAGAATATTAAACATTGTTTGTATGTAACATTTATTTGCAATTTGAATTAGTAAAATTTTTTTCAAAGTGACTGTATATTGCATTTACATTTGTACATATATTTTCTTCTGCTGTTTATGTATGAAGAGCTGTTACTGGCCATCCATATGAATAATTTTGAAGCTTTAATTTTTATCATTAATCAGAAAATTATTGGCAAAAATGTTTTAAGAGTGAGATATAACTTTACAACACAGGAAAAATATCTCTAGGACAAAATGAAACTTGGAAGTAAAATGTAAAAAAAAATTTAATCTGAATAAGCTTCAAATGTAGCTTTTTTTTTTTTTTTTTTTTGGTACCATTTTGGTTTGCTATTCCCAAAGAGTAGGAAAAGATAAAGACTATCTTGTTTGAAATTTTTTGTTGCAAAAATTTCAATTTAACTTGATGTTAAGATGGTGACTTCTGGTATGAGCTTGGAAACTTAATTCAAGTAGCCTGATTTGATTGTTCCCATATCCATAGAAACTCTAGCACTGTGTCCATTAGATGTTTATAGCCTCTGTTGCTGGATGCAACAAAGAAACACCATACACATGGTGTAACATCTAGCCAGTTATTTCAGGTCTGTGTACTCTTTCTGCTGTTTGCTTGTTTAGTATTACAGAAGGTATTTCCATACTTTTTTCTTCTCTAATAAGAACTTAGTTTTTACCATCTGATATTAGGGAACAGCCCTTCTTAGTTACCGTTCTTGCCTATTGCATTTTTACTTTTTCAAAGAAATTGCTGTGCTGTATACTTCATTGGATTAAGGCTTTTTCTTCTGCATTTGTATATGTGTGTAGTTGCTTCCATTATATCATGGCTTCAGAGCTACAAATTAATTTTCTTGAAATCTGATGCAATTATGTCAAAAGCTTCCTTTTTAATTTATGCTTCTAAGGATCTCATTTATGAGCACTGCTTCCCTATGTATTCTTTTCTTACTACATTTTTTCCTGTATCAGCAATAATGGGTCTTTAACTCTGGCAGATTTGGGCTGGAACCAACAAGAAACTACTTTAAAAAAAAAAAAAGGTAAAAAGGAGTCACAGCAGACAGCAAATGACACAATTCTTAGTGTTTGTTGCCAGCTAGGAGTGTAAACTTACAATGTTTTACTTGTTAGGGTGTGACTGCATGTGTTTACTCCTCTGCCATATGATCTCTAGGGACTAGCTTGTGATGTAAAGTCCTTAGAATTAACTTGCTTCTGCTTTTTAAGAGCACAGTGTTTATTCTATGGTTGATGGAATAATTCAGGTGCATTACATAACCTTAACAGCCTAGTTTTGTTTGTAACAGTTATGGCTTTTTTCTGTCAATAAAAAGTTCATCAGGATTTTATTTCACATCATTTTGTGCTGTTCTGTGAAAATGTCTTTGTATGAAATCTGAGTTGACTTTCTCAGTTATATTGCTGGTGTTCTGCTGACTTTTTGAGGAGAGTAAATGTACGGATGCAGGCTTGTCTGGTTTCTTTTGAAGTTTGTTGCTGAACCACTATGGCAATTATAAAGTACTTATTAAAAGTGTAGAATTTTAACACACTTCCCTCACAAAGCATTGTGTAAGCACAGTGGTTAACCTTGCTAGCATGATACCAATGAAGTTAACAGAACCAGCAGCAACTAAAGTTGCCTGAATTTTGGTGGGTTAGGCTGTTAGGGCACTGTTGTGGTTATTTTTGGTACAACTGTGCTGTATGTAACAAACACAAGTATACTGAGTGTTTCGTTCTCTGTATGTTAGTGACTACATCATGACCCTGTTTGTGAAACATGCACCTGCATATTTCAGGTGCAAATTTAGCATTACTTGCCTCTCAGTTACATTATTGTCTCCAGAAGATATTTCAACAATTATTGGGTTCTGTCTGTCTGTATCTTCTTTTTCAAGCTAAGGATGAGTTCTAGTTTTGGTGCTTCAGCATGTTTTCCTTTATACATAGGTAAATGTACCATTAAAAGTCTTAATAAGGTGGATGAGGTGTGTTTCCTTCTACTGTTTTGTTTCTTTGTGTGCATGGTATGGTGCAGGACAAAAAGGCCATCTCACCTGCCCTGATCACTGCTGTACTCTTCCTCTGCATTCTTGGTGGCATTTCCTATGTAAGACAGGTAGGGAGGGAGCAATTACATCTAGTATTAAGATCATTTAGCGATTCAAATATTTTTGTTGCTGAACTTTAAATATGTAAATTGAAGTGCTTTCTGCTACATCTGCTTCTGGACAATTTAAAACCAAAGTAAAAACAACAAAGTGCAATCCCAGAGCAAATAATCAATTTAGGTTGTTTTCTATTTTTTTTCTTTAAGGGTTTTTTATTAAGTACATTTTAATGTTCATGATTAAAAAAAAAAAAAAACAAAAAAAAACCTCTGAAGAACTCTGTACCTCAGATTTAACTTTGACATTGATGATTTTTGTACTTGGAGATAACCAGCAGGGAATCTGTAGTCATTACATGCTTTCTTTTACCAGCTGTCTTTTTAGTTTTTGATATGACATTATCTGTCAAAATAGACATGGTTTATAGTTGGCCAGGATATAAACCATTCAAAAAATGTTTGCAAAAGTTCAGTAGAGATTTAACAAAAAATTTTCCATCAGTGAGCTTTTCAGCATGAGAAGGCAAGGGAAAATTTCATGCAGTCTTTTAACTCTGTGTTGTCAGATGTAAGGATTGAAAGCAAGGACAGACTTTTGGGTTCCTTCTTCTCCCCTGCATTGAGAGGAGGTTGTTTGAATTAAATGGAATAGGGATGGGATCTGAAGAAGGGGAGGAAGGAGTATGGAAGAGGGAGAAGGCTAGGCAATTAAACATGAGCTGAATGAATGATGAGGGAGACAGGATGGAATTTGGAAAGGAAGAAGTAGAATAGTTGGGGGAGTGATAAGGGCTGATATTTGAAGAGGAGGTGGGGAAGGAAGATATGCAAAGGTTGGTGTTCTTGTACTTTCACTCTCTGCAGTTCAAGCTTGGAATAATTGACAGATTTAATGTATTTACCATTTACTAACCAAGTTAGGTCTTGAGTCACTGTAATGGTGGTCCAGATAGAAATTAATGACTTTTCCTGCCTTACAAAGTATTATCATGAGAAAATATTTGCAAACATTGTAAATATGTGGTGAATTTAATAAATATCCTTCTTATTCATGAATTAATACAACTCCAAATGATGCATATTTGTATTCCATTTTAAAAATAAATGCAGCTTCTTAACAGAAGTGTTGTCTCACAAATCCTGGAATTCGTGTGGTACATGTGGAGTTACATTCCAAAGAATCTGTAAATACATCTTGTATTTTATATGTTTTTAAGTCTTCCAGTTGCTGTCATGTTTCTGCATTTAATTATTTACTAGGCAACAGTAGTGGGGCTTGGAAATGCGTAAACTAATGTGGATAGTTAGTCTGGAAACTGAGTTGTTAGGGAAAACATTCTGCTGAAAGAAAATATGGTATTTAACTAAATTCTAATTCTCTTTGAATATCTCAGAATAATCAGAAGGAGTTAATCTCTTAAAGAGCTGTACTTAAAGGTGGGTAAAGCTTTACCTACCTTTGCATTACCCACCTGTGCATTCTTGTGTGCAAGATAGGATACTATCTTGCAAGTTGACGTCTGATGATATCTTGTGCTGGTTTAGAATGGGAAAGACCTCCTTTTCTCCATAGGAGTTTGTATGGGACTATGTTTTGGATTTGTGATTAAATAGTTTTGATAACATACTGATGTTTTAGGAATTGCTAAACAGCAATTTGGAGTTGAGGCCTTTTCTGCTTCTCATGCTGCCCTAGCAGCCAGTTGTCTGGGGGTGTGCAGGGAGATCGGAGGGGACACAGCTGGGACAGCTGAACCCAATTGCCCAAAGAAATATTCCACACCATAACACATCATGCTCAGCACCAAAGCATGGGGAGAAGGGGAGCGGTTTGCCAGCACTGCCTCTTCTCTGGGACTGCCTGGAGTTCAATAGGTTAGCTGTTGATGAGCAATTGTGGGATTTTTGCATAATTTGTGGTGGTTTGGTTTTATTTTTCTTTGAGGAGTTTTGTTTTTCTTTTTATACTGCTCCTTTTTCCTTATTAAGCTGTCTTTATCTCAACCCATGAGTTTTTGCATTTTTGCCCTTCCAATCTTCTCCCCATCCCAGTGGTGGGTGGGCAGTGAGCCAGCAACTGTGGTAATTGAACTTCCTACTGGGATTAAACCATGACATAAACCTTAACAAATGAACTGAAGTTATCAAAATGAAGTCTAGAAAGGTCTGGCTGATTGCTGAATGTTTTGAGTTAATATGAAGTAGTAATCTAATTGCTCACATGCTCTCAAGATCTGCCAGTGACATGTTGTGTAGATTTCTCTATATGTGCTTTAAGGGTTTCCTTGCTTATTTGGAGACTTCACCATATTTATGTTAGGTTTGACATTTTGCTTCTCTATTTCACTTTGACTTCTTATTCTGGAATCTAAAGTATTACAGAAACTATTTGTTTAATACTACTGCTCATGAAGTTGAATCACTGTAGTGAAGTTGAGCCTGCTACAGTTGAAATTTTTCTTCTCCACACATACATATTGAAAGCTGATGCTTGTGTGTTGTTTAATATGCATTTTATTTGGTTTTTAATATACAAGATGCTAGTGTCTTGTTACTATGTCCTCAGTATGTTTTCTTTTAAAGTTCAAGCAGTATTTATTTTCTGTTTAAAAATAAAATTTAAAAAAATATTTTAACTTTAGAGGAGAGAAAAAAGGATCTAGTATTCTTGTTCTTCAGTAGTGCATTCATGATTTAATCTTGTTCAATCTATATATAAAAATATAAATTATTAATTAATACACTAGTTATGTTATATTAAATATTCTAGTAATATTTAAATATATTATATATAAATAAAATCAGTACTTGAAATCTCTGAAAGATAGAGGTATTAAAAATTTACCAAAATAATTAGCATTTTGCGCCACTGTAAAATAGATCATTATTTTTACCTAACTGTAACATGATAGTGTTATGTAGCTATAGCATCTGAGCCTTGTTAGCATAACAAATGTCACCCCCTTACTGTTGGCCACTGTACAACTTTATTTTCAGATGATTACTCCAGTGCTATGTCTTGTAATAATAGCTGTATCCACAATTGGAGCATCTGTATGACTGGTATTACAGGGCAAACACAGAGCTGTGGCTATGGGCATGAATGCAAGTGTATTTGTTTTATTCCAGTATTTGTCAGAACCAAGTCTTTTTTGGAGGCAAAGGCTTTGTAGTGGAAATGAAAATTATTTCTTTTTTAAAATCTCACCCTCTTCATGTTGAGTTCTTAGAAGAAGAGAAAATGTTACTGCAGGCTAGGCATTTGTGTCCCTAAACAGAGTGTAGGTGTAAATAATATGTATATGTCTAGTTATTTTGTGTGGTCATTTTGATTTACCACAACGTGTGGTAAACCTCAAATATAATCAAAAGTTTGTGATAGCTGAACTGTGGTTATGAGTGAAGATGGATGTGTTTAGATGGAAGAACGTAGCCTGTGTATGGAAGTCTAGTATGTTGGGACTGGCCTCCTACTTGAGCTGTGTAAACATGTCTGGGTCTTTTCAGACCCATCTGGACAGGAGTGGGCACCTGAAAAGGGGCTGCAGTGGGTGAAGATGCAGGACATGGTAACTCCAAACTGTGCCAGCCTCCAGGGTCTCGGGCTTTTTGCTTGGAAACAAATGAGCTTCTAGGATAGCTTACGTTTATATTAAATATTTAGGGACAAATTAGTCTTGGAGTTGAGGGGAAGAGTACTATTGTTTCTCCTCAGCTGTTATTCAGTCCAGCACACACCCTGCACACCATCCTGAAGTACTAGAAATAACAATGCTGAGATGAGAGGGAAGGTTGTCATATCTTGCTCTAATGCTTCTGGCACTATCCCCATATGTCAAATCAAGTCAGTAAATTATTGAAGAACATGTTAACTCTAGAAGGAAGCTTATTGGCACATTAGTGTTTATATGGCTTACTCAACTAATGAATTAAGCTAAGTTCAGAGTTAATATTGAGATCAAGAACAGAAAAGAGTATCTGATCTGGCTCTGTGGAGATTATATTGCATATCAAAACTGTGAAGGGTGGATGACAAAATACCAGGCAGGATTGTTTCCTTCATAGCCCAAACAAGCTGAAGTTCCTAATAAAAATAATAAATACTTCCCTACAATCAGAGCAGTAAATGTAGTTAAGTACTCTGAAAATTTCCTCTTCTTTATTCAGGATTTGTCTACTACAGGTAAAATTGAATTCAGGTCACAGTGTCAGAGATGAGGAGTGCATAAACTCCCTACTGCAGTAGCAATTTGTGGAAAATATTAATTTCTATTTCTTGCAGTGCATAAGCTTGTGCTACTCCTGAATGTTTGAACAGCTTCAGGAGATATAACTGAGAAACACAGAGGATAAAAACTGAACGCATGGTTAAAAATACATGTCTTTGAACTTTCTTTTATCACGTTTGCTGACCATAATCTTCTAGCTCCAAAGTAAAATAATTAAAGATTTTGAAGTTTCTGTTTGGCTGTTGCCAATGATGGGATGGAAAACCTACCCTACAACGGTTTACTATGCTAAATAGTATTTTACTATACTAAAATGCTCCACTGGGTAATATGTTGCTATTTGTAGAGGTTGTTTTTCCCTCATGAGAAGCTGACTGGGACAGAAGCGTGCCTGTGGCAGGGAGGAGCGGTGTGTGGC